TTCTATTTCTGCAATTATTTGTTCAATTCCATTTTAGGTGTTTGATTTTTTCCTTTTAGGTTTATTATTATTATTAGTTCTTTGTTATATAGTGGCCATTTTCTTGTTTTATGCTAATTTAGTTATTTATTTAAAATTATTTTAGTTGATTTTTGTTAAATTTATATTTTAAAAGTATTTTATTTATAATGTGTACTGAATTGTAGTTTATTTTATTTTATTTTATTTTGATTTAATTCAATTAAAGTTGATTTAATTTCGTTTTATTTAACTTAATTTAATTTTGAGTTAGTGCATTGGAATTTGTCAATATATTACTTCATTTATTTATTATTTATTTAATTTTTCTTTATTAAAAAAAAAAACATTTTTGTTTCTGTAACATGATCTAATTTCCGTTTTGGTTTGTTTGTTTCACTTAAGCCTAAGTTTTATTTCCCCCTATGCACGTACATATAAGCACATAGGTATATATGTATGTGCGTATATGTATATATTCGTATGTGTGTACATATGGGAACAAAATTTACATATATGTTGGTTTAAGTGGATTGTCACTCAGGTGACAAGCAATTAGCAAGTTTGCCATTTTGTACTATATGTACTTTTCCTTCTAATTGAGTTGTCAATCACATCTTGTTTAAACTTCTAATTTCTTAAAACTATTGTTCTTGGGGTTTTACCCCTTTATTTATTTTATATATTTATAATTTTGCTTTCTAACTTAAAAAAAAAAATTTAACTAAGCAAACAAATTATTATTATTATTTTTTCTCTTTATAAACAAAACATTTTAGCTTAGACCCGAAGGACTCACCCACGTGTTGTAGCAGGCCTTGGTGGGGACCTGCTGTTGTTGCAGGAGTCGTGCAGCGCTATGGTAGCCGCGCTGGTTGTTGTTGTTGTTGGTGTTGCGCGCTGTTGTTGCTGTTGCTTGGTGGTCTCGCTGGTCGTTACCGCTGCTGAGGCGGTGGCGGTTATTGTCCGGGTGTTGCAAAGCCGCTGCGATGGCGTTAGTGGTTGCCGCACGTTGTTTCCGCTGATATGCGGTTGTGGTTGTACTGCGAGTTGTGTTGTCCGGGTGTTGCAAAGCCGCTGCGATGGCGTTTGTGGTTGCAACCGCTGTTGTGGTGCCGCGCGTTGTTACCGCTGAAATGCGGTTGTCGTTGCTGACGCGTTTGCTCCGCTGATATAGCGGTTGTGGTGCCGCGTGTTGTTACCGCTGAAATGCGGTTGTGGTGGTACTGCGAGTTGCGTTGTCCGGGTGTTGCAAAGCCGCTGCGATGGCGGTTGTGGTTGCGCCGTGTTTGCTCCGCTGTTATAGCGGTTGTGGTGCCGCTCGTTGTTACCGCTGAAGTGCGGTTGTCGTTGCTGACGCGTTTTCTCCGCTGATATAGCGGTTATGGTGCCGCGCATTGTTACCGCTGAAATGCGGGTGTCGTTGTTGACGCGTTTGCTCCGCTGATATAGCGGTTGTGGTGCCGTGCGTTCTTACCGCTGAAATGCGGTTTTCGTTGTTGACGCGTTTGCTCCGCTGATATAGCGGTTGTAATGCCGCGCGTTGTTACCGCTGAAATGCGGTTGTCGTTGCTGACGCGGCGTAGTGGTTGCCGCCGAGCGGTATGCAGACTGGCACTGTACCTGCAAAAAATTAAATTAGATTAATTAAACGTGATTTTATATACGGACTAATCCCTAATGGATTCTAGAGGAAATAAAAGAGATTTTACAAAGTTTAAAGCGTATTGCAGCTCTAATGAACTACGTCGCAATTTATGAGGAACCGTTCTAGATGAATTTTCCAATAGTAAGTAGGGCTCAAGCCTTTCATCTGGGGTAATTCCGTGCGCAACATTTAGACATATGCATATAAGTGTTTGTATGTGCCGCAGTTTCGACACCCCGGACTTCGTAGCCTGCGGTTGTTTTGTCCACTTTACCTCAGCACTTATACCCTTAACTACGCGAGTAAAGTAAGATTTACATAATCAATCATGATACTACCAAAAAAAACACATCTAACGAAAATCGGTGCATTTCCACACTCGTTTTGCCATTTCGTTAAACTGAGTCAGATAGAAGCTGCGCTTTATTAGTTTCGATTTAGCAATTCGACCATGAATACCACATTTTACCTTGTTTATACATTTTATAAATGCCTCGTATAAGCAAGGTACTTAATAATTATAAGAAAACTTACCTACTTCAATGTAGCCGGCGGTTGCTATCAATGGGATATGTTGCTGTTGGAGCACCCAATCGCGTACCATACGGATCCTAGCACTCCTTTTCTTTTGTACACCTGGAGTCCACCTTCTACCCCACTTGCGCTATTTTAACGCGAACACTGTTAATTGTTCACTCCAAATCTTTTTTTTTCACTCACTTCACCGTCTTAGAGTAACTTCCTTTTTTTTTATTAGATCAAAACTTTGTCAGATTCAGCGCTACCTTTTCGCCCGCTGTCAATTCTAGAATGTAAATCGGTTGGCAGCGGAGTTGCCAGCGGGTTTTATATACCCTTGCACTGCGGGAATATTCCATTTGGAAGAATAACGGGCACTGCGTCATTTGGACTAGTTCCGTTACTCTTCCAAATGGAATTTGCCGCAGTGTAAGGAGGAATATCAAAAAAATAAAAATCCGGGGTTGCCGTGCCGGTTAAACTTCAACTTTCCTAGTTCTCAATATTTAATATCTCGGAAGCTACTTGACCGATTAGAAAAGTATTGATGCCAATTCAAATATAATTCTCATAGCTTTTTTTTTGCAACGTATTTACTATAACCATTTTGAAAACAAATTTTTGGTAAACGCTATTAAAAAAAATATATGTATACAATTTCGATTTTTACCACTACTTTCGTTAAATTTTGCGCTATAACAAACCTTTCTATATAAGGTGATAAGTTGTACTTTCTAAATAATATAAATTTCTGTAGAATTAATTATGCAATTTTTTTTCAAAAGGTAATTTATTAAAAAAAGATTAAATTTTTTTTTGTGTCTTTGTATTTCTGACTTGAAAATATAAAAAAAAATCAGGAAAATTATGTACATCAACTGAAAGATAAACTAATCATCTTTATTTTGACATCATTAGTTGTCTAATCGGCTATGTAGTTCATAAAATATTGATATTTCAAAGTATCGAAAAAATTTAACTTAACCTCGTATATCCCCTCAATTTCTCACCCGCGCCAAACAACCTTGGTAAGGTTAAAATCAGCATGAAGAGCTCAACCAAATTACACCCCTGGTTTTTCTACAGCTAAAAGGTCAGTATTCTACACTTTTTGTAAAAATTAACCTCACATTTGACGCCAGTAATGAAAACGGAATGTCAATCATCTGACACTGAAAGTTGACGACAGTCTTTGACTTGCACTGCGGTAATGAAAACGCATTTAACATCAAATGAACAGCTGTCAGATGAAGGCAGTGTTTTTGGCGTCAGTGATTCTGACCTAATAAAAACCAGCCTTTAGTCCGCGGGAAAGTGTTTATTAAAAAAAAAGACGAACAGACCTGCTGGAACTAGTGACAGTCAGCGACACTGTCCGCAAGGAACACAGCTATCGCAAAATGGCAGACCTTCCATGCAGTTGCCGTACACTCTAGAAAAATATGAGATGGTGAAATTTCTGACATGCTACCGGGTGCGCTATATGCTGAAGAATAAAGTATTTATATTTTGTGCGGCGAACAGTAACCCGTAACAACCTGCACGAACTACGAAGTTTTCTTGGGCTATGCACCTACTACCGCCGATTTGTTCCGAATTTCGCCAGCGTTGCTAATAGCCTCCACGAGCTCACAGAGTGGATTGCTAACTGCGCGGAGTGTATTGCAGCTAAAGGACCCAAATCCACAAGTCATGGCCAGATGAAGCAGTATAACTCAGGTGCACCTTTCAAGCAGATTGCCATGGATGTAGCCGGTCCATTTCCTATGAGCGCACAGGGAAACAAATACGTCCTTGTGGTTATGGACGACTTTAGCAAATGGCTGGAGGTATACCCGATTCCAAACCAGGAATCTAAAACAGTTGCGGAGGTATTCACCTACAATTGGGTTGCGAGATACGGTGTGCCTATAGAGCTGCACTCTGACCAGGGAAGAAATTTTGAATCGGCGGTGTTCCAAGAGATGTGCCAGATACTGGGTATCCAGAAAACTCAAACAACGGCTCTTCATCCGCAATGAGATGGCATGGTGGAACGGTTCAACCGAACCCTGGAAGAGCATTTGCGGAAGTTCGTGGACAAAACTCAGAAAGATTGGGATGTCCGCATACCCCTGTTCCTGATGGGATACCGGTCAGCAGTGCATGAAACAACAGGTAAAACTCCTGCAAGGGTAATCTTTGGCAGTGAGCTCCGAAAACGTGAGCGAAAAACGTGTTTTAATTTTACTAAATGCGAAAATATTGCATGTTTCACCTAATCTATTAGAGAACAGTGAACATTTTAGTGCACTCCATTGCTTTGCAATTAAGGCTGCTTCAGCACACGTTTTAGTGCACTCCATTGCTTTGCAATTAAGGCTGCTGCAGAAAACTGCAGCAGCATCTCTGCGGGATTGATTAGTTAACTTGCTAATGGAGGCTGCGTGGAGCAGAAACAAAATCATTGTGAGGAAATGCTGTTAATATAATAATAGAGAAACATTTCGAGAACGGCTTTGCCATGCCCTATGTACACAAAATGCAGCGATTCGTCCCACCGCTACACTTGCATCTACGCTTATTGCATCTTGGCGGCTGTCGCAATTTAACACACAACACATCATTGTATTAGTTTTTACGCAGTCTTATACTCAAAAATCACTCACAAATTGCAAATTAACACAATTTAAACTGATTTTTCACTTATAATTCAAATTCTCTTGCGCTGATTTGTAAACAAAGGTTTATTTACAAGTTACCACAACCGTCAAAATTCGCGAAACCAAAGTAGCGGTACCACTGACGGCGCCACCTTTGTTCGCTGCACCGTGCTCATTCATATTGTTACGATTATCCTTGAAACCTCGTCCGGATTTCGCAAATCGACCGGTTCGTATCGCTGGATTGTTAAATAAATGCTAACGATGACCAAATTGTAGTACAAATAACTTTATTGTACAACAAACAATTTACAATATTCGCTAATAGGGTAAAAACACTTTAGAATACTTGTTACAGAAATAACAACGCTTTACTAAACTTGTTAACACAATTAAACTTCTAGCTTGCTTATTCGCAACTCACTTCTCTGCTCACTTTACTTGTAGCTTGCTGACTTGTAACTAACTCACTCCGATGTCTGGTGGCGCCCTTATATACCTGCGCTCACACTCATGGCAACTCTAGAACATTCTGAAGTTCATCGCTCATTCTCTATCGCTCGCTGTTCGCAGTGTTCATCCAACTTGACGTTTCTCTTTGTGGAACATTCTACGTCATTCCTCGAACATTTTGCCTATTTCTCGTTGTTCGCTTTGTGTTGCCGCAGTATTCGCCACAGTATGCCTACATCGATCTTATAGGGCATTCGCACGAGGCGATTTTTCAGGCAACTTTTAGTTGAAAGCAAAAATCGCCTCGTGCGAACGGCCTTTCAACTAATCGCTTTCAACAAAGATGGTCGCCAGCCAACTTTTAGCTCGTTCAACTTTTTTTCCTTGCAACCCTGTGTTTGTTTACATTCTGTATCAGTGTTGGGATATGAAATTGTTCCTTCAGTACGAAATCTATACAAAAAATGTACTTTTCGGCTATAAATTGTATACACTTTTTAATTCGCTCATATATTTTCTTAGTACATTCCCTTCAAGACCAATGATTTTATGGTATTCATGAGAAAGTTTTATTGTTTATGTACATACGTTTACGTATTTTACACTTTTACAAATTGATTCCACGTGCACATGTATTGCATTTAACGCAAATATGTATGCACACATTTTCAGGTATACATCTTAACAAAAAAGCATATTTAAGTTATTATTAATGGATAAAAGAGACATTTTCTTTGGATTCAGTACTAAAATTTTACATTTTAATAGAATTTCAAGTGCTTATCAAAACTTTGCGAGAAGATTTGACCATTTATCTTAATATTATTCAATTTTAATTATTTTTTGTAAAAATACGCTTTATATTTTAAGAAAAGCCGTACAAATCCAAGGTTCAAACTTTGTGCAACATTTAAAAAACCAACACACTTTCGTAAAAATTTCGATCTACTTAATTCGATTTCCTAGATTTATTTTGAGTGTGTGGTTTTTTAGTCCACTGAATTTTAATATAACTAAGTTTTTTAAGATTTCTTTGATGAAGGTGTTGCTAATTTCCTCCATATAAAAAAATCGTCGAACACACTTCGTATGGAAGAAAATGGCTGACATCGTCGACAAAACAAAATTGCCAAGTTCAACGGTAAGTCCCAGCTACTTTAAACTTGCACTTTATTATACTAAAATTGAATGGGCTAAAAACTAAAGAATATTAATAAAGTTCGAAATTTTTACGACAGTATGTTGGTTTTTGGATGTTTCGCAAATATTTAATCTTGGGTTTATACAGTTTTTCTTAAAAAATACACTATAGTTTATAAACAGATAATTAAAATTAAAGAATAATAACAATCATCGACTAACTCTTAAACTATTCGGACGTGTTCATACAAGTGTTCTTAGCTCGCGTAATAACAATACCAAATAACCCGTTATCATATTTCGCTTTTGTGCACTTTAGTGGAGCATCAGCATAACAACCACTTTGTAAACAAGGAACCGCTACAACATACCAACAAACAACAAAATGCCAACACAACCAGAGCCACCTGACAAATCAACAAACAGATTCGCAATACTAAGCCAATTTGACGACACCGATTACACATTTCCCACACTTACATATAAACAAACACCACTTAACCAACCCAAATACATAACAATTACAGCAGCCAACAATGAACTACAAAAACTAAGCCCATTCGTAATAAAAAGAGCAATAGACTCAATATCAACTCAAATAGAAAACGTAAAGCAACTCAAAGACGGATCATTGCTTATACTGACACGTAACTCAAGAGTAGCTGAGCGGTTTTTTAAAAGTGAAAACACTCGGTAATCTATGCCCAGTGACAGTCAAATACCAAGACAATCTAAACACAATAAAAGGAGTAATTTATGCGCCCTGCCTAAATTTTGTAAGTGACGAGGAAATCATACAAGAATTAAAAAGTCAAGGCGTAAGAAACGTATACAAATTCACACGCACATTTGAAGGCAAAGCAACTCCTACTGGAAAAATTGTATTATCTTTCGATCTTTACCACCTACCCAAAGACATTGATATAGCATGGTAC